TACCAATATCACTTATTATAAGAGCTAGCGCGGAACTTCTTAATAATAGCACACTTCGCTTGATATCAACCCCTACGATGATAACGTAAAAGCAAATGGCCCATTTTGATTAGAAAGAGCCACGCTTCACAAGTCAGGCCATCTGAACAAAATTAAGATGATTTCCGCGGAACATTCGAGCAATAATAGCAAAAATTAAGTTACCAAAAAACCTGATGGCATGGTAATATTTTCAATGCAGTTTAAGAAGAACTTATCGAGACTTAAGCTCTCAAGCTGACCCCGCGAGAGAAAATTGAACTTTAAGTTATTCATATTTCAATAAAAACAGACATTTCGCGTTGGTTAAAAACACAATAACACAGGCTTTCAGCATTCTTACGAGGTTTGACATTAACTTTCTCGAGAATGCTTGAGAATTTAATCGCGGGGTCACTTTGAGAATTGAACTAAAGTGAGTTGTTCTAAATAGTATTCCAAAAGTAACCGTGCTATGAGTAGACTTTAAGTAAATAATTTTTGCACTTATTGCTCGAACTTTGAGCGGAATCAGTCTTAAATTTGATTTGCACCGTCAACGACCGCTATAGATCTACATAAGCAATCTAAAATGGGGGCTCTTTCATTTAACAAACTGAAAAGGTTGATATGGAGCTAAAATAAATGAACACAAAACAGCTGATCATAATAGTTGCTGGTCGCTGTGATCAGTAAGGAACGGAGCCAGCGATCGTGAAATTGTTGTAATCCCCGAACCGCCCATCACCGCGTACAATGACTTGCACTGGCCCATATTCATGTGGGCCATCCAAACCCATCTCTATGAAATTTACCGCTCCACCCGATATGTCGCGATATTTGGTTTTGACATTGCATACCCCTGCATTGTAGGTCTTCTTGCAGGCATAGCTTGCAAAGCCTGACTTTTGGTCACTTGCGAAGGTCGTGATGGTAATGTTGTAGTGAGGACTGCCCCCGAAGCAGTAGTCAAGGCGAAAACGTTTCAGAGACCCAGTCTTGACATTTTCTGCCTTTGCCATTTTGAAAATTGGAACCAGCTGACCTGTTAGTGAAGAATTAAGTTTTGTAAGATACCTGTAACATAAATAGTGAATAGTAGATCATAGCATATATTTTTTTAATACTTCTAGATTTTAAAAATAATTTTGTGTTTTGGGAAAGATGCACCTTTTTCATTTACCACGAAGTAAAAACAGGCCACCCTGAACTTGATTCCTGATCATCAGTCTTTTTGTTTGCACGTATAATGGGCAACCTTTTCTTGTGAGGTAAGTGAAAAGGTATTGTGCGTAATACTTGTTATTGCACGTGTTGCAAGTAGCGGCCACATGTAGGTCTGTACGAATGACCTAGAGATAAATCACTGGGTAGTTTATGGAAAGGAGCCAATGTCAGTTGAAATACCCAACTTCTCAGTCAGATAATGTGTCTCTTTCCTCGTGCCAATTACCTGCCGGCTAAGCTGGACCAGCAGCTCTAAGGACGCACGAGATTGGAGGTAGATACGAGCCTCAACTCGTAAAAAAATGGTTTCAATTTGCATAAAACATTACTTCGTAAATAGGTCCGAAAAATCTTGCCCTAGTTTATAATGTTGTACAAAATTGTGCCGGGCTGTCGGGGCCATCAGATTAGCTTATGCACAGCTCACAGTCTCCTATAGTAATTTATACAGTCTTCTACAGTGTTTTTTTTTTTGTCTCAGTCAAATTATTTCGTCTGTCGTTGTAAGAGAAAACAATACGTCGAAACCACGAAGGGGATTAA